AGAAACTGGCCAGCACTGCCTACCCAGATCCCTCGAAGCAGAGTAAGGCCACCTGGGGAGTGGAAGGGCCAGGTAGGGGGGTGACATCATCGGGATAGAGAGCCTGTCATTGGGCCTCAGAGAAAGGTCTGTCTTAAATTGAGGGCCCCAGAAGTCAGGGGGTCTGAATGTCAAGAACATCATACCCCACTGACTCCTGGAAAGGAACTTGAGTCATGTTGGTTTGGGTTTGGTTGATACTATGAGGTGATGATATCCTCACCACTGCTGGAGATGCTGGGGTGAGACACGTCCTTGGATCCTTTCAGTCTTGTTCACTAAATCCACCTCTTCAATTAAGGACACCAATTGGGTTAGACCATGATGGGGGTGACACAGTGGCTTCTTAGGGAAGCTTATCTGTAGATTCACTCAGTTCCCTTCCATGTGCTTCTGACTGGCTCTTAGTTGGCCATCCACTTATCCGTGATGCTGAGATATTAACATTGACAGTTTTGTGTGACTCTCCCAGAAAGACTCAATAACTATATGTGGAATACATAAATGGAAACACCCAAGGGGGCAAAGCTACTACTGCCCCTCCCCTCCAGCCTAATAGCTGAGGGAGAGAATAGATGAGTATCTGGCATGCCACTTCTCAAAGGTTGCCAACCTGTTTTAAACAAGATGTAACTCAGTGGGTAGATTCTGGGGATTCTGCACTAAATCCTGCTAGTGTCCTCATTTGGTAGGAGCAGTAATTGACCCGTCATGGGGAAGGATGAGAGTTTTGACCCCTTGGGGTTTTTCTCATCCCCAGAGCCAACTGCCAAAGGCCCTGCCAAGAATTCAGAACCAGAGGAGGTCATCCCATCCCGGCTGGATATCCGTGTGGGGAAAGTCATTAGTGTGGACAAGGTACTCGTTTTTCACCACATCCCAGAGAGGCAGATAGGGGTCAGGTTTGTCTGTTTCCATCTGGAGGAAACCTGGCCTCTGATGGGAAGTAACATCCCTGAGGTCATAGTGTAAGTCAGAACCCAGGTGTCTAATTCCAGGCGTCAGGCTTTTCCCTTTGCTGCCTGGGACCTTATGCAACCAAACGCAGCCAGGAACTCAGAGTGGGGGGCGGATGTTAGTCAGAGGGAACTTGTTTATCTATTAAATCTGGTATGATGGACTCACCTGGTCTCTACCAGCTTGTCTGGACTAGCTTCAGGCCTTATCATGGATCGGCCACTTCGTTTCCCGGTATTCCCCCTCAACCCCGACCTCCAGAAAATGGTGAAGGGAGAAGGACTTCCTTTTTCCCACAGACAGGAGGTTATGCGACCCATAGCCTAGGACCATTGTTGTGGGCTTTTTCTTCTCCCAACACTGGTTTGCTTTTCACTACATAGACCCAACCATCAAAACTACTCTGAGATAACTGCTGACGCTCTTTCAGATGGTGAGGCCAGCAGTTGGCCTCCCACCTTCCAGTCTACCTAGAACTGTTCTGTAGCATGTGGCCATAATGGCAGCCACCCAGACAGTCAGGCCATTTAATCTCTGTTAGAGATTCCTTCCATGTCTTACATAAGTAATTAGGCTCATTTTACTCAAATCCTGCCTCTTGGTTGAGAGTAGAAGGTACCTTCAAGAACCATTCTCCTGTCTGCTGTCTGGGACCTGGAAAGAGAGTTCACTCTAGAAGGTTCCTCAGGGGCCTCTGAAGGGAGTGGATGCCCCTTTCTGGAGTCAGGGTTCACCAGGCCCCTGATCTAGTCCATTAATACTCTCTGGGACTGCCATCTCTTGCTGGCAGCATCCAGATGCAGACAGCCTGTATGTGGAGAAGATTGACGTGGGGGAAGCTGAGCCACGGACTGTGGTGAGCGGCCTGGTGCAATTTGTGCCCAAGGAGGAGCTGCAGGACCGACTCGTCGTGGTGCTCTGCAACCTGAAACCCCAGAAGATGAGAGGAGTTGAGTCTCAAGGCATGCTACTGTGTGCTTCTCTGTGAGTGAGGACTCAGGGTGGGGCATAGGACTGGGGAAGGCCAAGAGGAGCGGGGAATTGGCCCACATGATGGCCTTCCACATGCTAGGTGGAAGCCCTGATAACACTTTCCAAAAGATGATGCATGAATTATTTCTTGTACAGTACTGTGAATGAAGTACTCGACCTAAAGTTAGTCTTATTAAAACAGAAATTGAAGGTTCAAAGCAGTGTGTACATACCCGTCTCACTACTAGTAAGAGGTGGAGCTAGGATTCAAACCCAGTGCTGATTGGCTGTTAAGGCCTTGCCCTCTCTGTTATGTCATACTTCCTCCCCTAAAAGCCCAGATTTGAGTCTCTCTCCTGATAGAGAATTTCACTTTAACCCAGGTTAACCCAACCCTGGTGATATCGAGATGCAGTATAGCAGTGAGGACCCCCCTGGGGCTCTGGCACTGAGAATGCCCTGAATCCCAGGAGGGCCCCTATGTAAAGGCCCTGATGCTTTGGCCTCCACGACAGCTGGAGGCAAGCAATAGCCTCACTCTTTCCTTGTCCTGTGTGTTTTTCCAGAGAAGGAGTGAGCCGCAAGGTTGAGCCTCTGGACCCTCCTGCAGGCTCTGCTCCTGGTGAGCGAGTGTTTGTGAAGGGCTTTGAGAAGGGCCAGCCTGATGAAGAGCTCAAGCCCAAGAAGAAAGTCTTTGAGAAGTTGCAGGTAAGAAGCTGTGGGTGTTCCCCTCTTACCTGGGCCACCTGGGCTGTGTTCTGGTCTGCTCTGTTACTGAATCCACAGCTGGGCCTTCCTGCATCTAAGCCCCTCTCTTCCTTCTTCATTCTAGACCCTTCTGAACGAGGTGGCTGAGGAGCATGAGGGCCCTCACATGCACTGAGCACTGACAGACTATTTGAGGCATTCCTCACTTAATCTTCAGTCCATGAGAGGAGATTACCCCCATTCTACCTGGCAGGCCAAAGCCACTCAGGTCACCAGAAGTAATGGAGCCAGGATCAAAACCCTCCCTGGGTCCCTCCTGCCCACGATCCCTGAATTCATTCATTTAACAAATATTGAGTCCCCCAGGCTACATCAATGAGTGGGGCAGCAAAAATTCACTCTCCTCGTGGAACTCACACCACATGTGACTTTTCCTAGTTAACACCTCATGGCCTCAGTCAGACAGTGTTTCTGGAGGGCACGTAGACTGCTTTCTGCCTTTCTCTGTTCTCCTGCATGGGACACATGGCTTTGTCCACTCCCTCCTTTCCTGGCACTCCAGGCTGGGTATTTGAATCACTTATTTTTTTCTGGCTATAAAAAAAAATTTTCATTGTAGAAATATAGGGAAATATATAAAATTATATATATATTTATATAAAACATAGGGGGAAAGGAAGAAAATAAAATATTCATAGTCCTGCCACCCAGAGATACTGAAAAATATCATTTAGCGATTGTTCCTTTCTGGGTTTTTTCCATTGCAGTTTGTCTTACTGTGGTGTTTATTCTGCTTTTTTATTTAACTTTATGCATGAAAAACTTCCCCATCTTCTTAAATATTGAAGGGGGAATCTTATTATGTATAGTATTGTCATGATTATCATAATTTAACCAAAACCTTATTAGACATTGAGGTTGTTCTGGGTTTCTCACTGTTAGAATGCTATAATGGATGCACTTATTCATGATTATTTTCTTAAACTAAATCCCTAAAATGAACTTACCTGAGTCAAAAGATAGGAACATGAAAGCTTTTGACAAACTGCCCTCTTAGAGAAGTTGAGTCAGTTCACGCTAGTAGTACAGAGAGTCTGTTTTCTTGCAGTCACACCACCATCACTATAATCACCTTTTTTGTTTGTGTTGTCCAGGCTGACTTTAAAATTTCTGAGGAGTGCATCGCACAGTGGAAGCAAACCAACCTCATGACCAAGCTGGGGTCCATCTCCTGTAAATCGCTGAGAGGGGGGAACATTAGCTAGCCAACCCAGCATGGTCCTCCCTTCTCCCATCGTCCTGAGTCATCTGCTGTCTCCTCAACTTGCTCGTCCATCACCCGTTTCCCCGTTTCCCAGGACACTGAAGCAGGAAGTTTGGGACTTTATTAGGTGCAGAACTTGGTAAGGGGCAGCTAGCTCACTCTTCCCAGAATCTAGGGTCATCCTGCCTGGCTGCAGTGGGAGGCTGACCTCCCAGGTAGTAATGGGGGCAGGGCAGCAGCAGGGAGGCCAGCTCTGCCTTCCTCTCTTGGCAGCTGACTTGAGAAATCTGGTTTCAATATAACTCAAAAAAAGTTTATACCACAATCCTTCTAATTGGAAAAATATTGGTTCCCAGGTTTTCCTAGAGTTATACCAGCAGCTGTGCCTCTGGCTGGGATCTGGTGCCTGAAGTGGGCTAATTACAGCTTCTCCCCAAACAGGAAATTGTGGGATTTGAGAAGGGAAAACAGAGAACCCAGTGGTCTACCAAGTGGTTGGCCGGTTTCCCCAATGCCTGCCAACCCCGAGGCTTGGCACTGGGGGGCAGGGCCTGCCCCAGGGCTCCTGGAATTTCCCTTGATCCTGCTGGGTTGGGACACTCCCTAAACCAGCTGTGTGGTGTTAACATCAGCAGTAGGGTGGATGGCACAGCCTGGTTCTTTCTTCAGAGGGGGTGGGGTACTTCTCCATAAGGCATCTCATTCAGAATCACTAACCATCACTGTCATGAATTCAAATAAAATGTCTGAACAAGGGTGTCTGGATAGGGCCTGTGTGAGTGAGCTGGACCATCTGAGGAAAGAGGAACACGAGTGTGAAGCAGCTGCTGGGCCCCTCACCCAGCCTGGGGCTGCTTGTATCTTGGACTTTTGACCCTGTAATGGGAGGGGAGGGAGGAGAGAGAGATGGATGACAGACACCTTGACTTTCCCTTTGGCAGTACTAAGCAGAAGAGGCCCACTTTGGGGTCCACTGCTTAGAGCAGACAACATTTTTCCTTCTAAATGTGGGCCCAGCCCCAACCCTGTCCCTCCCCCATTAAGAAGCAGCAGCCACAGCCAAGTTTCAATCATTTAATTAATTAACACCTTTGAATGAAACACGCACAGAGCTTTTTCCTGTGTCTCACTCAGGCTTCAGGGAAGAGGGAATGGATTGTTTGTATAGACATATCAAAGACTCAAAAATTTAAAGAAATATATATATATATATACTTCTCTCTCTAACATTTTCATGGAAATTAAAAATCAGAGGCTTTTGGTCTTTCCATTTTCACTAGGTCAAGCTCATTTACCCAAGAGGACAAAGAAGGGTTGCCTCTTCTAGATCCTCTTCTCCTTTGTACTCTGTCCCACCCAGTGGGGAAACAAGCTCAGGAGATTCTAACTGAGGATAAGGAGCTCGAGTAACATGGGGAGAGGGGAGGGAAAGAGAGAAGGTGGGCTCCCTCCCACCTCCAGCAGTTCCAAGGCTGCTGCCAGGGCCTGGTTTCCTAGAGGCTTTGACCCGGGTCCTCGTTCCCAGGGGGTTGGATCAGGAGCTCTGAGCAGAGCAGTGCTTACTGACTGTCCTTCCCGGGCTCACTGGGCATGCGCAACACAAACCCAGCAGTAGCTTGCTGTTACCCAAGAGCAAGGGAAGAATGTTGGTTTACAGCTACAGGGAGAAGACAGTAGTGAAAGAGGGCCAGAGGAACCTGGTCTCTCCTACCACATCCCCTGCGTTCCCAGCTCTTGTTCTGGGAGGGGGTCAATCTCTCTCCTTGGTGGAGGAGAAGAAGCTAAAAGCGAGGTCCCTTGCCAGGCTCAAGCCTGAGTCACCGTTAAGGAAAGAGGATGGAGATAGAAGGGGTGGCCCTGGTGGCAGCCATGCTGCTGTGGAAGTCACAGGGGCCAGTGGGGAAGCCATCTTACCTAGATAGGTGGCACAGGCTGAAAACAGAAAGGTCGTTAAAGTTCCTGGAGGAGAGATCAGTAGAAGAGGCTGATGTCTAGGGGGCAACCACCCAGCCTGCTCCCTAGGAGCACGGAATGTCCCTCTCATTGACTAGGGAAGAGCCTGGAATAGAATGCACTTTTGGCTTCCCATCCTTGTCACTCAGCATCTGCTCCCCCCAGCAGAACCACCTATGCTGAAAGGCAGCTGCAGCAAAGACATGCACGAAGACAAGGAAAGAGAAAGGTCAGACGATGAAATCCAGAGGGCCAGGCCCGGGCCCCTTGCCCAACTAAGCTCCTCCCCTGCCAGACCCTCTCCCCCATCCACCTCCTCAGGACTTCCTGCAGTTGAAGGGGACCCAGCTTTGCCACAGCCCGTGGGCTTCTGCCTCTAAAGTGTCGTGCCTGCCTACCCCAACCTGATAAAATGAAAGGGGGAAATGCTTGGCATTGCCAAGTGCCAACCGAGATGACCCCCATTCTCTTCTCCTGCTCTCTGAGGATAGAGAGCCTGTGGACCTCCCCTCTGGGTCTCTCTCCCCCGACCCATTTGGGTCTCCCACTTATCCCCTGCATGCAGCACCTGGCAGAGCCGGAAGGCAGGAGGGGTGGTTGGTGGTAAGTTGAGGCACAGGAAGGCTAACCCCCACTGCACCTTTGTGCTTTGGAATTCCACAGTCCCACTCCTGCCTCCAGCGTGGAGAAGCCTGTGGGATACAATGACTTGCCCACCTCCAAGAACTAAGAAAAGGAGCAAACTGGTTTGGTTTGGAGGGAGGGGACAGATTGGTCCCAGCTATTGGGCTGGCTACGAGGGACTGATGCTGCTGCCATGTAAACAGGCCTTTGGAATGTGGCTTCACGGGCCCTGGAGGATGGACATGCAGCCACGTTTCAAAGTGCTTTGATTCTGGACTACAGTATGTGCATGATTTGGACATGAAAAGAAAAATAAAAAACTCAAGTGAGGTGTTCTGCTCCCAACTCTGTGGCCTCAGGGCCAGCAGGGGGCGCAACCACCCACTCCCTCCAGCTACCTCTTCAAGATGAGGCTAAGGCCAAGACTGAAGTGGCAGCTGCCAGAGGTGAATCCATTCGGGAAAAGGCATGAGAGCTGAGTGACTCGGAGGACAGATTGACGCCAGGCTTGCATAAATATTGAAGGCGGTGAGTTAAGGCTGCAGGCATCCTCTCGATTAGGTTAAGTGTCTGCCGTATCCTTTCATCCTTGGAGCTGCTCAGGTCCCTGAGATTGTACTCCTGGGTTGGGCCAGCAGTGTCAGTGAGGTGCCTAGTGGTCAGACCAGCTCTTTCTGGGGGTCTGTGGGGAAAAAGAAGGGACACTCAGCAAGGGGACCTCCTGTCTTGGTTCTGGTCACCAAAGGCCCAAGGCACATCCTCACCCCCTCAATTTACTGACCATGCGGCAGCTCTGGGTTAGACACTACAAACGTTCTGACACTCATACAGTATCACTTGACAGTGAGGAACTTGCAGCTAGGATGGGCAGGTAAAATGGCAAAGTTGGACTCCAAACTCAGTAGTTCTGACTCCAAAGCCCCACACACCATGCTCTTTCACTGTAGCTCATCAAGGGGTACAGTTCACCCTTCCCAGGCATCCTGAGACCAGAGAAGTCTTAAAGATGCAAGAGCAAGTCCTTCACGGCAGGACTTCAGATATCTATTTCCCATCACCAGTGATGGGCCCCACTGCCCACTGTACCTGAGCTAGGCAGGCCCAGCTTCTGCTCCTCTGGACCCACCAGCTGCAGGACACCTCCATTCTCCGCCAGCTCCCCCTTAGTCCTGTCCTCGGCATGGGGGAGCCCGTTGGTGGGAGGAGTAGTAAGAGGCTCAGCCCGAGGAAAGCTGGGGGAGGCAGGTACGGGGACTCCCACAGAGGGCTTGCGGGCCACGGGTGGGGGAGCCTTAAGTGGCTTCTTTGCAGCCTGGGGTGGCCGTTGCTCCGAGATGCTCCGAAGTTCAGCCACCAGATTCCGCTGAAGGTCTGCCTGGGTCTCAGGGGACACAGACCGCTCCAGCTGCAGCTTCTTAGTGCCCTTGGAGAAGATGAAGCTGGCCGTAGAGGCAGGGGACTGGGGACACCGTGGCTCTACCTCAGGTGGTCCATTGGACTGGGCACTCACAGGGCCCTCGCTGGCAGCCAGACTGGAGGCCTTGAGTCGGACAGCAGCATGGAGCCCTGAGGAGGCGGCAGGTGCTGGGCTGGCCCGCCCTGACAGGGCCCTTCGTAGTGGCTTCTGGGGGGCCAACGGCCCTGATGCTGGGGTTGGAGCCACTGTGGGAGTGCCCACAGAGCGCAGCCGAACCATCTGCAGGAGCGAGGGCGTGACCAGAGGTGCACCAGCATCCTCCCTGGGAACCCCACTGCCCTTGTTGCAGCCCATGGGTTCTTTCCGAGGGACCTTGGCCAGAAGCCCTGTGACAGAACCAGCAGGAGGTGGGGCTGGTGGAGCTGGAGGAGGGTCTGGGGTACCATGGGGCTGGCTCTGGGAAGAGACAGTAGCTGAGGGGGGCAAAGCAGCCACGGAACTGACAGTTTCCGGGGGGTCTGAAGGACCTGCACACTCAGGGCCCGTCACAGAGAAAAAGGCCTCCTCAGGTGGAGGGAAGTCAGCCATGGACAGGTCCTGCTCCTCGGGTGCAGGAGGTGGCGGAGGGGGCCAGTTGGGATCTTGGAGGGGCTCCTCAGCCATCTCTGGGGCAGATGGGGCCTCCTCAACCACCTCTGGCTTCTTAGTGGGTGGGGGGGGTGGATGATAAGATGGGGGTGGAGATGGTGGGGGTGACTGGTCTTTGGCGGCAAGGGGAGACTCCTGTGGTGGAGTCAGGGCTGTCTGGGGAGTGGGGGGGGATTCAGGACTGGCATCAGTGGTAGAGATTGGCCCAGGGACCATAGCAGGGGCAGTCGGAGCAGGGGCAGCTTGGTTAGGGCTCTTGGGCTTGGAGGGAGGTGGGGAGAAGGGGGCAGGCACCTTGGGGTGAGGAGGTATGACAAACCTGTCACCCAGGATGGTTGACATCTGTGGACCAGAGCGTTCTGAGGGGGCTGGGTCAGAGGAGGAGGAGCATAGAGACGTGAGGGAGGAGGAGACAGAGGCCCCAGGAGATCGAAGGGAAGTGACTCGCTCTGGTTTAGGGGGTTGAGCCTTGCCTGGGGAAGCAGGGGCCCCTGCTAGACCCTTGGGAGGGAGGGTAGGGGTACCACTTTGGCTCGAGTATCCACTGGAGGGTGACAGCGTCCGTTCTGGGGAGCGCGGGGGGCGCCGAGAGCCACCCGGAGATAAGCCAGGCACCCAGCTGCCTGCTGAGGTGGATGGACAAGGTGCTGCCCCCATCCCTTCTGACCCACCAGTGGTGGGCGGCCGAGGCAACTGTGGCTGCTGCTTCCGCTCAGGCTTGGGAGGCAGCCCCAAGGGCCCATCAGGTGCTGCTGAGCCCCGCTGATGGAGCGAGTGGGTCCGGCGGGGAGGTGGTGGCGGCCGCTTCAACTTACGTAGGGACACACTCCGGCCAGACAACTGCCCACTACTCCGAATGCTGACAGTGTCTGAGGCCTCAGCTGTGCTGCCCCCACTGGGAGAGCCCCTCCCGCTGCCCCCCTGGGGAGGGGGTGCCACACTATTGCTAGCCACAGAGCTCTCTGGCCGGCCCTCAGAGCCACCCTTAGAGGAAAGGGTGGAGCCATCAGACACAATGGTCTCAGAGGACTGAGAGTGGCTCCAGGTGTCACTGGAAGAGGAAGGGTGGCGGCTGTGGGGCCGTGGGCTGGAGACCGAGGAGAAGCGGCCCAGTGAGCGGACAGAGGCCGGGCTGGCCGAGAGCAGGCTGCAGCGGCTCAGTGTGCGCAGGCTGCAGCGGCCCAGGGCCACCACGTCCACCGTGGGTGGCAGCACAGCATGTGGGATCAACTTCGACAAGTAGGTAGCCTGGGGCGAGATGGACATAGCTGGGCTCATGGGCTCTGGAGGCCCTGCCCCTCCTGTCAGTCCAGGCACTGCTAGGGACATGGGTCGGGTCACTGGTGGGGGCCGGGCCCCTGTGGATCGTCCAACAAGGGTGTCATCCCGGTAAACACGGTCGATGTGGCGCTGCAGCATGGCCTCTGCCTCGGTACTGGCCTCTGCCTCCAGTGCCTGCAGGGACACCCGGGCCCCTGTCGCTGAGGCCAAGCCCACTGGGCGGCCATCCACCGTGGGGATGCGCACAGCATCCCGTGGACCAGGAGGCCGAGGAGTGCCTGGTGCCTCACGCTCAATCCGCAGGCCTAGAATGGACAGGGAGGATGTGGGAGTCAGCAGAGGGGTTGGCCAGGGCTCCCCACCCACCCCTGCTGCCCTCCTAACTGGGTGCTCACCGAGTTCCTTCTGCACGTGCTGCGGCAGTCCCAGGACGGTGCTCCGCCTCTCCCGCCGCCGGCGCCCGGACTTCCCAGATGATTTGGGAAATGAGTCATGGGGTCGGAAGGTGGAGCCTGGGGGTCAGTCCAGGGGAGAGAAACCATTAGAGCAGGTCTCAGGGCACACTGTGCAGAGCACAACCTCTGTAGAATATTAATAAGAGCTCTGCAAAAAAAGATTTCCACAGTCAAACAGGCGTGGGCAAAACTAAGTCAAACAAAGCTAGGACACTTCTTTTCTGTAAGACTTCTGGAAGGCTTTACTAGGTCAATAATGGTCATTTCCATTTAGTGAACATTTATGATGTGTTAGCATGCTAAACACTTGGCATTCATTCCAATAACGTAAGTACTCTTATCCTCATTTTTATAGATCAAACAGAAGCTCAGAGAGGTTAAGGACTGGCCCAAGGTCACCCAGCTGGTAAGTAGCAACACCAGGCTCAAATCCAGGTTTCCTGATTCTTAACTGTCCTGCTCTGCAATTAATGTGCATTATGAACCTCCCAGAGGGTACAGTGTTTCCTGAATTCACAGAAGCACAGAGCCTTGGGAAACACTACATTAGGAGGAAAAGGGGAAGCTGCAGGTGCTGGGACCCAGATGGTGCCCACCACCCCACTCCCTGTTCAAGAATCCCGGCTGGTGAGCAGACACCTTTGCGCTGGATCATCTCCGAGCGGATGGAGAGAGCATCCTCTGCCGTGGAGCTCTCCGCTGTGTAGGATGTGGTCTGGCTGCAGAAGGAGATACTATCTTCATCTGGCCCTGTCCGGGAGGACTGTTGAGGGAAAGAAGGGGATCAGTCCCTGGCCTGGGACCCAGGACTACCCCAGAGGCCTGGGAGGGGCTTACTGTTGCCTCTTCAGGGCTTCCCTTTGGCACTTTTGACTCAGATCCCCCCGCTGCCAAGCATCACCCAGCACTGAGCAGACATCAGCCAGAACAGCCCTCAGGGGTCATCTAGTCTAGCCCTTCATGAAACAGGAAGGAAACAGAGATCCAGAAGGGTTCAAAGACATACTTGCCAGAGGTCAAGCAGGGAGGGAAGAGTAGAGTCAGGACAGAGCTGGGGGCAGGGCTCACCTGGATGCTCTGGGTGTCTCCATGGTCCCAGCCACCCTTGTTCAGTTTCTGTTTTTCTGGAAGACACCAGAATGGTGTGTTGGGCTTAGCCCCTGACCTTGGGAGCTGAGAGTAGCACTGGAAGGGAGGGGGAGGTTACCTTGGTGCTGTAGGGAACGCAGCCCCTCCTGGGCCTGTGTGTGCAACTCCTCCAGGTGAGGCGGCCGCCCACTGGGGAAGAAGACATTGTCCTGGTGCTCATCCACCACAGACCCTGGCCCCTGGCCGGGACCTACACCTAGACGTTTGTCACCCTCAGCCTTGGCAGAGCCTAGTGGGATGGAGGAGGAAGAGAAGTGAGGCAGGCCCAAAGGCATCTGGGCCCTGGGGATGCACAGGCACCACAGCAAGGGCACCCACAGCCCCCAGACTGTACACAGCCCTGCACATACATGCAGTGCACACCTCCCCCAGTCTGTACACCCAACCCACAGTTCTGGAGCATACACGCAATACACAGCCCCCATGTACATACACAAACCACACCCCAGTGTACAGATATCTGAGTACCCACCCCATACAAAGGGCCCTACAGAGGGCACCATACTCAGGGCACACAGGCCCACTGTATATGCACACACCACCCACAGGCTTCAGCTTGTATACAATCAAACAGCACCCAAGTATAAACACATCTGGGTACCCACACCGCACACAGGGGCCCACATGGAGCACACCCAATCCTTGTGTATACACACAATATCCACAGTCCCCATTCTATACATACACAAACAGTACTCAAATATACATACAACTGTGTATCCACACATCACTCAGGGGACCATGGAAGACACCCCAGAATACACACAGCCCGTAGCAAATACACTTCTCGTCTCCAGATCCCAAGCTCCATTTTACAGGAAAACAAACCACCCTTTTTGTTCACCCTCTTGGCCCAGGTCCAGAAAGAAGACACACAGAACACTAGGAAGGGGTGGCAGTTTGCAGGGGTCATAACGAGATCCCCAGGAAGTTCTGGGGGGAGGGACAAACCAGGTATATGGCCTCTTGGGTCCCCTACTCACCCATGTGGCTGTCCCTTAGTGGAAGGATGGGGCAGGGCAGGGGAGGAGGACCCAGGCCCCTCTAGCCCTAGCCAAGGCAACTCTATCCTCTCTTGGGGGAACAGCCCCAGGTATCCCCCTCTCCTGGAGGCCCCAGCCCCTGGTGCAGAGGAGCTAGGGATCTATTACAAAGGATCCTGTTACAGGCCCCGCCCATGGGGGAGCTGGTCATCTAATCCCAGGAATGGGGGGCTGTGTCAGCACTTTGCAGCCCCAGCCCCCCTTTAAAAGGAACCCACAACATAAGCAAAAGCGCTGGCAGGGTCATGTGACCCTGGCAGCACCTTATAGAGGGGCAGGAACAAAACAAGCCCTTTAAAGGGCCACACCCCAGGATGCCCCAGGATCGGGGTCTTCAGTTCAGACACCTGCCCTTTCCTCCTTCCTCAGACCATTCTTCAACAGCCAGCTCCTGCCCCAAGGAATCCACAGGAATCCCACAAAGTCAGAGCTGGGAGGTCTCCCAGGAATCCATCCAGTTGAGTCTCACCTAATCCCCCGATTTTACAAGATGGGAAAACAGGCTCAAAGAAGAAAGGCCTTGCCAAGGTCACCCGCAAATCACAGTCAGACAGAGCCCGGATTAAACTCCAGGTTCCCAGAGGGGGCTCCTGGATCACAGTCAGATGGGGACCCTCTAGCCCCCACATCTTACTCCAGGCCTAGGAGAAGGAAGCCCAGCTCCTAGGAGAAGGAAGTTGCATAGGCCCCTCTCTCCAAAACTTCTCCCCGGGGCATCTAAACAGGATTTCACTGATCATGCTCCCCAACTTCCAGGGGCACCACATTCCTCTCTACTCTGCTCCCCACATGCCATCTTCCCACACACACTGACTGACCTGGGAGGGGGTGCCCCACGTCTCGGAACTGAGGTATTGGGATGTACCCAGTGAGGTGTGGGTACTCCTGGAGAGAGGCAGTCTCACCCAAGGGCTGCAGGCTTCAAGGTCAGAGCCACCCGGATCCATCCTCCCAAACGCAAGCAGGGCCCAGACAAAGGCAGCGGGAGAGCGGCTGGACAAAGGCTCAGGCGGACAGGGGAGTCTGGCCTCATGACGAGCCCCATCCCCCACCCATTACCCTTCCCCGGCCTGGATCCCCTACTACAGAAGGGTCTGGCAAACGGAGGTGTCGGGGATCCCTCCTCTCCCCCCCCAGCCACACCCACTCACCCTTCTTCTTAAAGAGGCCGAGGAGTGCCGGGAGGTGGCGGCCCAGGAACACCACCATGACTGCGGGCGCCACTCGGACTGTCCCCTATCCCGACCTCTCCAGAAAGCTGGGCGACGCCTTCACTATAACCCGGCACTGAGGGGATGCGAGGCCACCCGCCCAGCCGCAGAGCGCCAGCTCCAGGCAGAGGAGGGGGAGGGGCCGCTCCTCGCAGGTCCTCCTCCCACCTTCGCACTGAGCCCGCCCACACGCCGACCCCGCCCCTCAAGCGGAGGGCAGAGGCAGGGGCCATCCCAGGCTCTGAGGGGGAAACTGAGGCCTGGAGTCTGTGGGTGCTCACCGCTGGTGGAGAGGATGACTAGGGGGGCCGAAGACACTCGATTCCAGGGGCAGACCACTAACCCTATCCCCAAGTCCTTTTCAACTCAGGAGCCAGAACTAAGGCAGGGGACCCGCTGCCAGATGGTAGGTGGAAGAGCCAGTAGACTAGACTTGGCATGGTGCCCACCCCCAAGTCTTCCTTGCTGGGGAGGGTAATTCCCAAGGGAAGGAGCTTAGCACATGGAGCAGCCAGGTAGAAGCCCAGGACTGCCTGTGGGGAGGGCAAGGCCACTGGCTGAGGCCCCAGGAGGGGTGGGAGCCAGCCCAGGACACAGCACTGGGAAGACACCAAGATGCCCAGAGCAGAATCACAGTGGCTGGAGGTAATAACCCCTCACGTGTATGTTCAGCCTCACACTTTCCAAAGGACTTTCTCCCACTTTGGTAATGTGGCATCAGTAGCCCAGAGAAGCACTGTGAACTCCAAGGTCACACAGCAGCAGCAGGCCTTCAAGGCAGACCTCCTGCTCCTCCAACCCAGGATTCTTCCCATTCTCCTCACTCTGTGACTCAGTGACTCTGCTGGATCACTAGGTGGGGACAACAGAATTAGCCAAGAAACAGCTCATAGGTAAGGGCAGTAAGTGTCGGGGGTTGGGGAGGGTGTACCTGGAAGGAAGTCAGGTCCAGGTTCTAGTCCAGCTCCACCACACACAAGTCACGAGTTCATATGGAAACAAGGCCAATAACTCCTCTTTATAAGATTGCTATACCCACTCACTCAATCAGCAAATCTTTATTAGGCTAGTGTTGGGGGCTACGGCTATGGAAGAGAACTATCTCCTTCACCAGTATATTCCTAGTGCCTACATCAGTGCCTGGCACACACTCTGAGTTCAATAAATAGTTGATGAATACATGAATGAGGTAAACTAACTATAACTTTAGACAGTGAAGACCGCGGAGCTGTGACAGGAAGGCGGTACCTTTGGGGGCATCAAGGAAAGCCTCTCTAAGGAAAGGCCATTGGAACTGAGACCTAAAGAATAAGGAGCCAGCCAGGGCAAGTGCTGGGCACTGAGCCTTCTAGACAGACGCAACAGCAAAGGCCTGGAGGCAGGACTGGTGAGTTTCCCAGACCAGAGAGGAGGCCAGTGTGGTTGGAACATTGTGAGCAAGGGAGAGAATGGCAAGAGGGGAGAGGGCAGGAGGGGAGAGGGCAGGAGCCAGGCCAGGTAGGGCCCCACAGGCCTTGGCAGAGTCTGGATTTTATTCCAAGAGCCCCAGAAGGTCAGTATGAAGGTGAAGCTGGGTGGTGACAGTGTTAAAAGAGATCCCCTGACAACTCCAAAAAGAGTAGCTGAGACTGTGGAAGAGAAAGTCTGTGAGCTACACAGTGCTGTCCCCCAAACGCGCCTGAGGACACCCCTCTCTCCCAGCACCTGTCCCTGTGCGTCCCCAAGGATCTAAGCATTCATAGCGGCTCCTTCCCCATTTGTTGCCCCACCTCTCCGAGACCAGCCAAGCAGAAGGCTGAGTCCTTGCTCTCTGGAGAACAAAGTTCTGTGGAGCTGGAGAGTGCATACCCACAACTCATTGAAATCTAAACAACAAGCCTAAGAAGTAGGCTCTTTTATCCCCATTTTACAGAGCAGGAAATGGAGGCCAGAGTGGGCAAGCATTATAAAGCGGTAAATGGGGTGGCATTTGCATTCAAGACAACTTGAATCCAAAAGCCACACTCTGTGTGCTGTGCCAGCTAAACCTGACCTCCCCTCCAAAGAAGGCAGCAGGACTCTATCATCCCCACGAGTTCAGGGTTGCTTGACCACGTCCTCCACTCCTCTCTCTCAGGCCAGACCCATCCACCCCTCTTATTAGTCCCACTCCAACAGAAAAGAGCAGCAGACTGACACTTGTAATTAATTCATGCCAGCCACCATGCCAGGTGCGGGTGGAAGGCAAAATCTCTGCCCTCATGGGTCTTACAACAGCCCTTGGAGGAGGTCTTTGAAGACACTCTCCTGGAAATTGTCCATGGACCTGTGAGGCTCAGAGAGCCAGGTGACCTCCCAAGCTCTGGCTGCCTCCAAAACTGGAGCTTTAACCATACAGGACACAGTCATCCGCAGCTTCCCCCTAACCAGGGACACTAAGGGCTGAGCTCCAAGTCCGGTCGGGGAACACCAGCTCATCAAGGTCTCAGGTCCACAGCTGGCAGTCAGGGCCACAGCTGCAAATTCCCAGTCTGATCCAAGGCTCTCACACTTGATAACATCCGGTTGCCCCAGCAACACCCCACCCCCCACCCACCCACAGCGTGGCCAGCACCCCAGGCTTCTCAGAGCCACCCCAGGCACAGGTCTACACACCTGTGGCTTGCTTGGGGCAGAGCTCAGCAACCTGAGTCTCAGGTGGAGGGCAGGGACCTCACAAAGAAACTGAGGCCCAGGCAGTGGAAGGACCTTGCCCAAGGCCACACCTTGAGTCCGTGTTCCAGGACCTTCACAGTCCAGAGGCGCGCAACCTGTGGCTGAGGCTCACCAAGCAGCCTCCGCCTTCCCCTCCTCCCCCACCTGCCTGAGGGAGGAGGCTTCCCAGAGCTGAGAAGATAACTTGCTCCTGGCCACGCCCCTAATACGCAGGGCACACCAGGAGGCACACATGCAAACTCCTGAGCTCAGATACAGTCCCCGAGCAGAGGTATGCAGCA